CTTGCAGGCAAACAAGACAAAGAGTGCCCAGAGAGGAGGGCGAAGGGCAAAGTCCGCACAGGTGAGGCCCAGAGAGGGCAAGACAAAGGGGAAGTCAGGACATTTTACTTAGCACACAGTCCGTACGGTGATTTGAGGTGCTGGGCTCAGTAAACATTCAGGAAGAGGGAAGGAGAAGAGGCACTTGGGGCAGGAATCTGGGAAGACCAGGGTGTGGGAAGGGAGCAGGGAGTGGACCAGGGTACACAGAAGTTCCTGAATGGGACTCTGCCACATTCTGCAGTGTGTGACCCATGTGCAGTGGGTCCTGTGAGAAGCAATGAGACATGAGCAAATGGTACCTGGATACTGAGCAAGCAGAACTCATTTCCTGAGCAAATTCAATGTTATTTTGTGTTTCCCTTTAACAGCGAATGGAGTTTATCTTCTCCCCTGTCTCCAGATAAAAAACAGTGGCTCCTATGATGTTTCATAAGAGTTTTAGTTAACAGCCCTGTAGTCATCACTTACAGCAAATGCAGGCTCCTTCAGTAACTGCAACCTCTCAGTATAAGATAGTGATAAAAATTCCAGAGGTGATTTAGCATTAAATTTTCCACCCTTCTCACACTCGAGCCTGCTTCAGGCGGGAAACCTGCAGTGGGAAGGAAGTGTGTGTGCGTGTGCGTGAGTGTGTGCATGTATAATTTCCTCCTTCTGCTTCCCTGCTTTCAGCCAATTTGAGATTGGGGGGAATATAAGGGGTTAGGAAAAGTCTTACTTGAAATTGCACCATTGTGAGATGAATTCCACTTTCTAAGCCTGGCAGGTGTTTAAAGAAGAAACCTTATCTGATGTGTGCTTCTGTGGAGATCTCTTGAACGTGGTGTCTTAGTCTTCTAGTGCTCCTGGTTCTGCTGCTGCCGTTTCTGTGCTGCTGCTTCTTACCGTCTGTGCCATCTCCAGCATAACAGCTCTCCTCACTCCCTTCTGAATCCTCACAGAATTGTCTTTAATGTCCATAATTCCACCAACAGTCTCTTCAAGGCAATCTAG